AACTCTAAAACTAGCATAATTATATTTACTTCATGGGGTTATTAAAAGAATTAAATTTGCTAACATAAAATACCAGTAACAAACACACCCAGGCAATCAGTATGTAATTGTTCATTAAACCTAGCAGTATCCTTTCACTATAAATAAAAACATCCCACTTGGCCTATCCTCTTTCAACAAACCTTAGGAAGTGACCCATAGCATAGAAATACAGGAAAATATTTCCACACTTTTTTTTTTTTTGGTACTGGAGATTGAACCCAGGGGCACTCAACCACTAAGCCACATCCCCAGCGCACCCAACACACTTTTTTTGTACTTTATTTAGAGACAGAGTCTCACTGAGTTGTTTAGGGCCTCAATAAGTTGCTAAGGCTGTCTTTAAACTCCATGATACTCCTGTCTCAGCCTCCAGGGCATCTGGGATTACCGGCAGTATTTCCACTCTTAAACTGGCTAATCCTTTTAATTTAAATTTTATTTTTCTATTTACAAAGTGTTTCCAAATACACCATTTCTTTTGAGACTCAGAACAGCCCTAATAGCAGAGTCAAGGCCCAATTTTAAAGATGAGGAAACTGAGGCATCAAGAATCATATTACTTAGGTAATATCATGGTTAGTGACAGTAAAGTGAGGTCTCAGGCTTAAGCCCAGAACCTTCTCACTAGGTTATACAACCTCTAGCAGGTGAATGGAGGCAGCAAAACGGCCCAAACTCATCTCTCCATCAGATGTGGGGAGCAGCCTGGGTAATGTAGGACACTAGGTAAGCAGCCCCTTCTGGACTCTCAACCCTGGGTCTTAAAATGTTGACAGACTAGTGATCATCTATGACTGAGGAAGGGAGCCTTTGAAAGGATGGAGTTGAACCCTCTTTTACTCATTCTCCTGGGAACTGAATGTGAGGTAGCCGTGCCCTCCCTAGGCCACTCCCACCAATAAATTGCTATCAGTAACAGAAATCTGGAAACTGAGAGGTAACTTCTTGGTGCACCTTGCAATTCTGTTTTACTAGTCCTGCAAATACACAGACTTGAGACACCCAAAGGAGAAATCTTTCTTAAGCCCATGCCACTTTGCAGCACAGTTAATTAGATCTAAAAAGGAAGAGTAAATTAACAGTTATTGACCACCTACTATTGTGCCAGCATGGTGCTAGACCCTTTATATATGTTACCTCATTCCAGTTACTCCTGAAAATAATCCCTGCATCCCTGTAATGGTATGGCACACTTCCTCAACATCTACTCCAATTCTTATTAGAGTGTTTATAGCTCCTCTATGCACCCTATATATTCTAGAAAAGCTAGCCTGCCCTTGTGCTAGGGGGTAGGACAGGGAGTTGGGCTTAAACCAATGGATAAGCCTATTTTGGGGTAACAGTTCAGGGAAGGATATGACTAAAATTGGGCCAATGGGAAGTTTTCTGAGAGTGCTGGAAAGAAGTTCACCTGTGCAATCTCTTTCCCTCTCTCTCTCTGCCTTTCTCTCCTGGAAAGTATGGTGAGTCTGGAATTGCCTGTAGTAATTTTGCCACCTTCAGGGCAAATAGTCTTAGGGTGAAACTGACTTTACAAAAGGAAGAACAAAAACAATAGAAAGAAATTGAATTTTTGACGTCATTGGAAGCTGAATCTAACAACCCTAAACTTTTTCTAATCCCTAAATTTTCTCTTATATGGGAGCCAAGTAAATACATTTATTAATTTACCTAATCTGAGTTGGGTGTTTGTATCAAGTCCATTTTCTGTTATTCTAATGAAATGCCTGAGGTTCAGTAACTTATAAAGAACAAAGGTTTATTTAGCTCAAGTTTGGGAGATTCTAGGGCACAGTACTGGCATTAACTTAGCTCTGATGAAGGCCTTATAATAAAGGAGCACAAGACAGAGAGAGAGAGAGAGAGATCACATGATGAGACAGGAAGATAGATTCTGAAGTCTCGTGAAAATTATGTTAATCCCTTCTGAGAGCACACCTTCCAATAACCTAATAAGCTTCCATTAGGCTTAACGTGTGTGTGTGTGTGTGTGTGTGTGTGTGTGTGTTAGTAAGGATTGAACCCAAAGCCTCATGCATGCTAGGCTGGTGCTCTGCCACTGAGTTATACCTGCAATCCTTTTCATTTTGAGACAGGATCTCACTAGTTGCCTAGGCTTCCCTGAAACTTATAATCCTCCTGCCTCAGCCTCCTGTGTATCTGAGATCTCAAGCACATGCCATTGCACCTGACCTAGATGCTACTTTTTAAAGGTTCCATCCCCTCCCACATCACTACCATGGGGACCAAACTTCCAACACATAAACCGTTGGAGGACAAGCCACCTCTAAATGAAAGCAGTATTCTATTACTTACAACACAAAGATACTTAACTCTCGTGGTCAGGGGAAGACTAGGCTGTCATAACAAGGGGACTCAACAATAATGGAATAGTTTAAAGATCTGAGTTCCTATCTCTCTCATGTACCAGTGATTGTGTGTTTCAGGTGGGGAGGCCATTGGGTTCTTTGTGTTCATTCAAAGACCCAGGTTCCCCCCCAAATCCTTGCTATAACACCCCTATTGCTTTGCCCTCATTTCCATAGTCAGAACTATGTGTCCCTGGGTTCCACCATATTAGAAAGGGAAAAGACCATGACAGAATCTTATGTCCCAGACATGACACACATTTCTGCTCACATCCCACCAACGTGAAAACGGTCATTTGGCCACATCTAACAGTAAGAGAGATTTAGAAATGCCAGTAGCCATGTGCCCAGCTAAATATCTGGTACAACAAAAGAAAACAAAGATGACTTTTGGTGGACTGCCAGCTCTCTTAGCCATATCAACTGTTATACAACCCATTTTATGGCGGAGAGGAATTAAACTAAGAAAACGTGCCTAAAATCACATAACTAGTAAGTGGCAAAGTTTTGAACTCAAACTTCCAATTCTCAAAATCACATTCTCCAAAAATAGACTCTTCTTGCTATTCCATGTGTGTGGTTATACCTCCCCATAATTCCAGCTCTTCAAAAAACCTCACCAGCCATTAGCAACCTATATGCCATAGGCCTATCCCCTGCTCTGGCAGCGATCTGGCTCCCTGCAAAGATAACTAGCATCCTTTTAAACTCCCAGCTATGACTGTATTTTCTACTCTCAGAGGAGGAAGTGTTGGACCAAGGATTAAGGCGATTGTCCAAGTACAGCACACAGAAGAAAAAAGTGATGCAGTCACATCCAGCTGACTACTGCTGGAAAAGCCAGGAGGCAAACTGAGGCAGAGAATGTGTGGCCCCTGGAGGAACAGAGCAAATGTGTACATGGAGAATGGAAACCACTGAAGTCCACCATAAAACAGGAAGAAAGGAAAAATCAAGGATGTTATGCAGATAGGATGAATTTAGACCATTTTGGAAATAACCTATCAGAACACTCTTCTTGTTAAAAAGATGTTTATTTACTAATTTGGATTGACAGTACAGTCCTAAAAAGAACAAAAGGGGCACAAAGTAAAAAAAGAAAAAATTCTCTCTCCTTCCCTCTGGCTCAAGCACCCAATTCCTCTCCACTAAAATGCTAAACATTATCAATTTCTTGGCTAACCTCCTGGACATATTCTGTGCACATAGAAGAAAATACATGTGTGCCCTAGTATGAGTTAAGTACCTTTCTCTCCATTTTTATTACCTTAATTTTTTTCACTTAACAAAATACCTTGGAGATCTTTCAATATGTATACATCAAGGGTATCCTCATATTTGACGGCCATATTATATTCCATTATAGGGACATGCCAAAATTTCCTACTGATATTTGGATTATTTCCAGTCTTCCACTATCACAAACAAAGCTGCAATATGTAACACTGCAAACACATTACTCTCTATGGATGTGAATAAGTCTATCGAGTAAGTTCCTAGCCCGGGCTTTAAAATGTTAAAGCAGCCAGATATTCATGGTTTTGAAGAATATTTCCAAATAACCCTTCATAAGGTCATACAAGTTTATTTTCCACTGGTAATATATGACAGCACCTGTCTCCTCACACTTTTGCCAACAGAGTATGTTGTCAATTTTTTTACCATTGCCAATCTAATACATGAAAAATGGATGACTATATCAATTTAATTACTCTATATCTTGTTATGAAGCTTAGCCTGTGCATTTTATTTTTTGCACATTTTTCATTAGGCTAATGATCTTTTTTTTATTGATTTGTAGGAGTTTTACATATAAAGAAAATCAGCCCTTGACTATTTAAAAGAGTTGCAAATATTTCCCATTTTTATAATTGTTTTTTGATTTCTTGATGGGCTTTGCATTGCTGAAAAGCATTCCTTTTACTCATTCTCTGAAGCAACTCACTAAATTAGGAGGTTCTATTAAAACAAGTCAAAAGCTCTTACAGAGGAAAGAAGCATGAACTTGGGAGGACTTCTGTCTTAAAGGAGTCCTCCCCTGTTTGATCCTATTCTTAATTACTCCCTCCCTGATAATGACATTGTCACCGAACTCAAACCACCAGATAAATTAAAATCACCAACCATGACTTCCAACAGTCACAGAGTGCAAAGGAAGCCAAGTTTCCTGCCCTTTGGCTTCCCAGCTAAATCAGAGAAGAAAATAATGCTCTGAAAATCCCCAGAGAATGCTGTTGACACATCAGCTTTCATTCTTCCTGAACCTACTTCCTCCAGACAATTCAATTATAAAGGTCCTTCCTAGGCAGTTACTCAATGAATGAGACCAAGCTGAAGAAGAATAGACCTACGGGTGAGTTATTAGATGGATGGAAAAAGGAAATAAAGAAAAGGAGTAAATGAATAACAGAAAAAAAAATTGCACTGTTAGAGAGGGGCGTTTCACAACAGGAATGAAATTGCTTCTGCCACAGGCAGGCAAACAGATTTCCTCACACAAGAGAGGAGGGAGCACTTTAAGAACCAAACAACAGTTTTGTTGGTGAATTTCAGGACCCCGGAGGCTGTGACAATATTGGGGGGGGGGGGGCGGGGAACGCAGGGTGATGTTTCTTTTGAAGATTTAGGAATAAAAGTAAGCAGCAAGTCTGTAACATCACCAAGAATGTGTGCTAAGGCTGCTTTGGAAACGATTCTGGCTCCTTCTGCATTTCTCAGCCTGATGATCCATGGCAGTTCCTGAAAACCTTCAACATTCAGTCTCAGCGGGTCAGCATCTAAGTGAATTCTGGCTCTGCCTTGCTGGACACTGGAGCTCTGTCTCCATCCCACTGGAAAGTGAGTAGTCTAGACCTCTGGAATTGTGCTGCTGCCTCTCTCTGCACTTCCTCTTTCTCCCATGCACCCCTTTCTCTATACCCCACAGCACTGCATTAGCGGCCCCCAGCAGGGCAGCATCTCCCAGGCCTGGACTTCTTCCTGACTTCCTGACTTGTGCTTGGTGCCTGCTCTCGCTGGACCATTGCCCTGAACTTCAGCCTCCTTGGCAAGGAGACCAACAGCCCAGGTGGCCCTCAGCCACCATCCTGTTCTTCTCAGCAATGGGCCATAGTCCTATTTCAACCCGGATGGTCCTTCCCACCTCTCCCCTCCCCCAGCTGCTACCCCGTCTTCCTGATACCAATGAATATTTCCATTTTCCAGTGTTCAGTTTTACCCCTGCTGTGTACCCCTCCCTCCACTAGGTGGGAACCCAGGGATATCTATGCCAGCAAGATCAAGTCCAGATTCACCACACACAAACACCAGCTGGACCTATTTAACCATTTGTTAATTTATAAACCAAGAAGCCCAAAGATAGGAAGACTCCAGGGTTGGTTAACTCTACAGCTTGCAGGTATTAAGGACCTGGGGCCTTTCCTCTCTCTGTTCTGCCATCCCCCATCTTCTCAGGGTGAACACAGCAGCCCTGAGCCATCAGTGGTAGGCTGGAGTTGGCTTCCACAGGCTCCTTAGAGCTAATTAATTTGCTCTAATGTTCAGGAATCTAACATTCAGGACTCTGGCCAGCCAGTTGCTAGTGTAAATTGATCCCAGTTAGAAAATTTACACCACAGGAATGAAAATAGCCAAATATTACAAATCAGAGGTTTTTGTTTTTGGAGGGTGTCTATTTATCAAAGACATCTTTTTTAAAATTGATTTTATTGTTTTTTTAAATACATGACAACAGTAGAATGCATTGCAATCCTCATTACACATATAGAGCACAATTTTTCACATCTCTGTACATAAAATATGTTCACGTCAATTTATACCATTATACATGTACTTTTTTGGCATTACAATTCTTAATACACATATATACCACAAGTTTTCATATTTTTATTTGTATATAAGGTATGTTGACACCCAATTCAAGTCTTCATACAAGTACTTTATATAATGATGACCATCACATTCCACCATCCTTACTAATCTCCTTCCCCCTCCCTTTCTCTCCCACCCCTCTTCCCTATCTAGAATTAATCTAATCCTCCCATGCTCTCCCTCCCTACCCCCTATGAGTCACCCCCCCCCCTTATATCAGAGTCAAAGATATCTTTTTTTCAAGAGCAGGAAATCTTTTCCTAGAAGCCTCACAGAAGATCCCATATCCCCACCCTCACTTCCGCCATCTTGATCTGTCATGTCTCATGCTGGTGTTTTAACTGAAGATTGGCAGATGCATAGAATGATCATGACTCCTCTGTAGTATATGAACACCTGATTCCCTGTAGTATATGAGCACCATTCCTGCTGGAGATGGCCTCTGGGTGGGCAATATTCATTTATATTCTCTCTCTCTCTCTCTCTCTCTCTCTCTCTCTCTCTCTGATCGAAAGACTCACTCTCTTCTCTGTTTCACCCTGGAGGGTTTACAGAACCTGTATGTTTTGACAGCTGAGGTGTCCTCAAGACCACCTCCCCAGAAGAACAAAAGACAACAGCAGAAATTGCTGAGAGGCAATCTTAGGTGCTAGGTCTGCATTTAATCAAATGGCTCAAAACACTTGGCTTCTTTTAAGCACCCTCAAATGGATAAAAATTGTCCTGTTGTTGTCCTGTTTTTCCACTCAGGAATACTTCCTCTATAAAGACATTCATATTCCAGTGGCTATGTGCTGGAAGTGGGGGCAAACCTATAATCCCAAACCTACTTGGGAGGTTGAGGCAGAAGGATCACAAGTTCAATGCCATTCTGGGTGTGGAATTACAAGTGTGTGTCACCACAGTCAGCTTGAATTACATTATTTTGTATGTGCTGATATTCTATTTAAATAGAGTTAAATAAATAAAGTAAATTGAGCTAAATAAGTACAAGACTAGATCTCATTAAGCAGCTGACTCAAAATAAGGTTTTCTCCATTCAGATTTAATCTAATCCTGGTTTTCTCTCCATTAAAGGTAGACTGTAAATTGAAACACAATTTTTTTTTTTTTAATAGCTCCTCCAATGGCCTTTCTGAGGTTGCAAAATTCACGCAGACTCCAAGCCATCTGTCTCCACTGGATTTCCTGGTTCCCAGGAGGAGACCCCAAGGCTGCTCTGTTCACTTCAAGAAAGGGTCAAAACTGCAATTCTCTGTATCCCATTAATTTCTTGGGCCTTTTCTCCTTCCATTAATGAAAATAGAAATAGAAACCTTCTTCCCACATATACCTATGTTTGCCATGAAGAGGCTTAAATTTCTAAAACTTTTATACAAGCTTCTGTAGGCCGTAAGAGGAATACAGAACCCAGTCCATAGCGCCTGAGAGCTCTGTTTGGAGAAACACATACAAGAAGCCAGTGAACAATGTATGTAAACAAGTCACAGCCAGCACTTGATGGCAAATGCTGCACTCCTAGCCATTTGAGAGGTTAAAGCAGGAGGATCACAAGTTTGATGCCAGCCTCAGCAATTTAGTGAGACCCTATTCCAAAATGAGAAGATGAAAGGACCAGGAATGTAGCTCAGTAGTAGAGCATCCCTAGGTTCAATCCCCAATCGTGGGGAGAGGTGAGGAGGAGGCTACAGCCATTTGGGAAACAGAGAAATCATTCATTCTCTGGTAGGTCAGAAATTTTGTTTTATTCATTCATGTTTTCCACTATCTTATACAAATTTGAAAATTTTCAAATATACAGAAAAGTTGAAAGGATGGCACCATGAACTTCATATCCCCATCAGCTAAATTGACTATTACTTCTCCATCTAAATATTGTGCTATGCACTTGAAAGGAAGTTTTAGTCATTGTAAGATTTCAACCTTAACACTTCAGTACCTCTCTAAAAAAGATATTGACCTAAAAATCATAATACCTTTATCAGATTTAAAATAATAATTCTCTAATAACATCAAAAATCTAGTTAATATTAAAACTTTCCCAGTTGTTCCCCCTCACCAATATATATATATATATATATATATATATATATATATATATATATGGATTTCTCAAATGATATTTGCATATTACATTATGTTATTATGTCTCTTTAGCTTATTTTAATCTAGAACATTTTTCTGAGTTTTTTTTTTTTTGTGTGTGTGTGTGTGTGTGTGTGTGTGTTTTGTTTTTGTTTTGTTTTGTTTCTTAAGGATGTTGACCTTTGAAGACACAAGACCAGTAAATGGTCCCCAATTCAGGATTTGTTTGATTTTTATCTCAAGGCATTGTTTAGCTTGTTTTTCTAGCTTTGATGTCCTGTTAAAATAAAGCCCTGGTTAGGTTCAGGTTGAATAAGTCAGAGGCCTGACTAGAAGCAGATGGCATACTCAAAGGGTTTAACTGACGGAAGTTAAATGAAGGGACTGTTTACCCATGTGGGGGCAGGCAGAGGGAACAGCAGGGACAGTGGAGCTCTCTGAACCATATCCCCAGGCCTGAGCAGCCCGGGCTGAGCTTGTCACTGAAGCACTGAGGGAGTTGGGGCTTTGGAACAGGGGCCCCAGCAAGAGTCGCAGAAGTTAAAGGATCAAGACCATTGCCTCATGGCCTAGACTGCACCTTGGCAGGGAATGAGGCCTTAGAGAATAAAGACCCTCTCCTTTCCACCCTCAAAATTTCTGCTGGACCCCATCTCTGCCCTACTCCTCACTTTGGGCAAATCCAATCAGAAGCCAAAAATTCAAGGAAACCTGGGTGATCACAGTCTGCAGAGGGAAGTGTCCTGCCAGGTCGGGTAGAAAAAGGCATCAAATGGATTTTTTTTTTTTTTTTTTTTTTGCGTATTTATTTATTTTTGCAGTGCTGGAGATGGAACCTAGAGGTGCTATACCATTGATCTACATCCCCAATCCTTTTTATTTATTTATTTATTTTGAGAGAGAGAGAGAGAGTCTCACTAAATCACCCAGGCTGGCCTCAAACTTTCTATCCTTCTGCCTCAGCCTCTCCAGTGGCTGGGATTACAGGCATGTGCCACACACATCTGGCCCCCACCACTTTGTCACTCAATCACATCAGCATGCATCAAAGACTGAATCGTGTGAAACTTTTTATAGTAAAAATAGTTGCATAGTAACAAGTTCATAGGGTTCAAATTAAAACATTTACTACCCAGCATTCTTTGGGAAGGAAATCTTTCCTCAACGAAGGGAAAAAACTATAGTTCCTTAATGTTTACTTTTTTCTCTTTACATACCAACTGCTAAGGTAAAAGCCACAGGCAAATGAGTATTGACCTCCCCCTCTTCCTCCTCCTCCTCCTCCTTCCTTCCTTCTCTCCCCTCTTTCATTTTCCCTTTTTAATACCCTAATTGTCCTAAATGTAGCTTTTGATGGGCCCCTGTTAGTCTCCGAGGACTTCCTTTTGGTCTGAAGTATGGGATGTCTGAGCCTCACCTGAGTTATGCTTTCTGCCCCAAAACTTCTCCAAAGACCGTTGGCTCATTTTAGTGGAAAATGACATTTAGAGACCAACATCTGTGCACCAGGTGTTCTCACTGCTACTGAGATGTTATTTTTTTCTAGGCTCTCACAGTGGACAGAGCCTATGCATAGGCACAAACAAACATGCCTTTAAATCAATTCATATTAGCATTTCCAATTTAAATTTAAATTCCCAGGTAGTCAGGGATTAGCTTTGAGGAGCATGAATTTGAGCTGGCTTTGGGACATCTGTACAATATCTTTTTAAAAAATAAATTTTATGGGGGATGGAAAGAGGATGGTTACTCAAATAAGAGAAATGACTACTAATGTTCTGTTGTACAATGGGATAAGGATGACTGACAACAATTAATTATCTCAAAATAGCTAGTAGAGAGGAATACATTCCCAGCACAAAAAAATGATAAATGTCCAAGGC